GAAGGGGGCGGCAGGAGGCAGGACGAAGCACAGAGAAGAGAAAATTGGCCAACGCCCCCAACTGTTATCTCATTTCAGATTTGGGTTTCGAAAAGGCGAGGACAAAAGGGGTGGGTCTGCTCTGGGAGGGGGTGCGCACCCGTCGGGAGGGCCTGGGGCGAGGGCTCTGGCGGCTCCTGGTCGCCCTCTGGGGCCCCGCGCGCACGGCCCCGCCTCGACCAGCCCAGATGCCCCCTGCGCCCCACTCGGGCAGTGGTCGCCTCCCAAAGCACCGAAGCCCTGCCGAGGGCTGCCGCGCTGGGCTCTGGGTCCAGGCTGGCCATAGCCTCGGGACCCTGGCTTTTCCCTCCTGTCCTAGGGGTTCTGGGAACCTGAAGAGGGCTTGGTGACCTGGTTGAGTGCATCGCGTTCCCGCCCGTCCTGGGTAGTCCACGCAGACCCAATGGTCCCGCAGCCCTCCATCCCAGTGCTTCTGGGCGAAGTGTTCGAGGCAAGCTGTGCCCACCTCGGGATCTCTATCCCGGGTCCCCGTCACTACAACTCCCGACAGCGTTCGGCTTTCTCTTCTAGAAGAGCTGGAAGACCCTGAAATCGCCTAGGAAAGAATGCTAAATGAGACAATGAAAGAAAGCTAAGACCGGGCCAACCAGGGTGTTTGTTAGTCTGCTTTGCTTGGATTTTTTTCAGTAAGCGTGTTCTAGAAATAATCCGCTTCCCCTAGACCCACTGCTAGGCAATGTCCCCCCAAAACTGGACTTGTCCGCGACTGAAAACACAAAACCTCGCTTTTCTTTGCTTGATTTCCTTGGGCTGTGGGAGTTCGAGGCAGAAGTCGGTCTCCGTGCGCTAATAGCCAAGCGCCCGGCCGCCAGCGCGGACCTCCCAGGCAGGAACTCTAGATGGCGCCAGAGAGCCACACTCGCCCTACGCCTCTTAGGGGAATCAAGAGCTACTGTCAAACATAAAAGCAAATCAGAGTTTTCAGTTTTTTTAATGTGTTAAGAATGTTATTCCTTAAGAAAATTTGTAGCTAAATTATTCTCACTTAAAATAAACACTTAGTATACCAATTACACAAATGGGCGGGATTTATGTGAGATTTACTTCATCTGCATTTTTGTAGTGGAAGAGAGAGAGCCTTGGTGAATACAGATAATAGATGCAAATAAGATTAGAGTTAAAATAAATAAAGTTTCCATGTGAATAAAAAGAAATTCAATTTTACACGGCTGGTGACGATTTGACGGAATGTCCAGACACGCGGTTCAGGTGCTCAATCTAATCTCTTCCAAACGTTTTCATTTTCAAACGTCCTTGAGGAAAGGAATTTTTTTCTGCTCCTTTTTCCTCCTCAGGTAGGACCCTGTTTACTCCAAGAGGCGCGCGGGGCGGGGGATGGGGGAGAAGACTACGCCAAGAAAGAAAAATACTGGGGAGAGTGTGGATTGGGGCCGGGTAGGCGCAGGCCCAGCAAACTTGATCTTGGTTCATCTACTGCGCGGAAGCTGGAAACAAGAAATCTCGGGAAACTCGCTGAAACGAAATCGCATTTCCCTCACCCCGGCGGGGGTGGGATTCCTGGCCCCAGATCTCAGCCTTGGCTTCACAAAACCCACTTCCAGGTCGCTGCCCTTCTTCCCAGCGTGAACCCCAGCCGCGGCCTTCCTATCTACTCTACCCGGGACCTAGTTAGGCCCAAGCCGCGGGAAAGCCGAGGTGGCCCCGGGGAGGCCCAGCGGCTCCTCAGCTGGGGACCCTGCTGGAGGAGCTCGCCTCTGGAGCACGCTCTCTGCAATCTGCTGGCTTTCAGTCGGTCGCCACCCACTGAGGTCAAGGCTCTCCGCGCCCCTGGGACGCCTAGAGCTGGGGTTGGGGGGAGTGGGGCTGGTGTGTTTCCCCTGCTGGGTTTCCGACAGGAGCCAGGGACCGGGTCCCTCTTGGCTCAGCTTCCCGAGCACTCGATGTCTGGCTGGACACTGGGGCCTGGGCTGCCGCCCGCGGTTCACCGGAGCCGCGGTGATGGACGTGGGCTGACCCGCGGGGCAGAGGCAGCGCGCAGAGGCCTTGATCACTGGCCTGCGGAGGGAGCCCCTCCGGGAGCGAGACCTGCACAGCCAGGCCCTTTGATCTGCCTTTATTATCAACAAGAAACAAAGCTGCCGGGGACCGACGTCCCGGCGCCCTCACTCTCTGGAACCCCCAGCACACACTCACCTCCGCGCCTTCAACCCGCAGCCCCCAGACGCGCGGGACACCCAACGGGCCTGCAGAGCCTTTGCCCAAAGTGCCCAGAATATGCGCCCTCTGCCAGCTTCTCCCCAAGACCAGACCCAAAACCGAAGACGCCTGGGGGATGGGGGAGCAATCCCAGGTAGGAGTGCAGGAGCCGGGAAAGAAAAGGACCGAAGAGAAGAAAAACTAGAGAAAGAAGAGTCTGGCAGCTGGGGCGGCAGGGGACCACGGGAGGAAGAAGCGCACGCTGCAGACGCCCCGCTGGGAACCTTCCGGCTGTCTCCCTCGCTACTTGTGCTATTTGGCTTTTGAGAGCAGTTTCTGTTCACTGTTAACATCGATAATGTATTCTTTCCAAAGAATCAAAATCTTCATTTAAGTTCCCAAGGCCAGGAATGAAGAAAAAAAAAAGAGGGAAAAATTTATTGATGCTGACTTCGCTTGTAGTTTCTATTGTGTGAGAAGCCTTTTAGAAATATTTTATTCTGTAAATATGTACTTTCTTTTCCAAACTAACATTTTTTTTCCAAATTGCGAAATTGTCTCATTTACCAATTTTCCTTTCGTCATTCTCTCCGTTCTCCCTCTTTTAAACCGGGGCTGTTAAGTTGGTGGTCAGAAGACAAAGAGAGTGAAAATAATTTTCATTTCAATAATTGCCTTCTGGTCAATTTAACTGTGCCTTATTTTGAAAGAGACTGTCTAAATGAGATTCCTGTCCCAAATGTGTTCCCAGGCCTGATCCCAGCCTTTAATTATTCCTGAGTTTTTTTCTTCAGAATAAGACGCCGCACTGAGTAATCACAAAGAAGGCAGAGAGCATCCTTGAACCTTTTCAGAAGCAGCCACTGATATTCAAATAACCTGCGAGGGCCATTTGACGGCGAGGGGACCTAGGCATTTCCAATTCACTATTTGCATAGATCAGCCGTCTTTGAAAAGGGAAGGAGCAGTTGTCTTCCCTAACATTAAAAAGCCTAGTTATCAAATCAAGTGCTTGGTTTGGGGCTTCTGAAACGTTTACATTTTATCTCAGGTTGCCCCTTACCGTTTGACATGCAAATTTGGTGCAGTTAATTTAGACAATTAAAAAGATCTTCAAGGGAGCTTTGTCACAGAGAATATTTGGAGTTTTCCCCGTGGACCAGCTGAGATAAAGTTGGCCAGAACAAATGATGTCTAGGAGATTAATTAGATATTTGATAAGACATGAATCCCTAATAAGGGAATACAAGGCACAGGGGGCTGCTGTGTGCTCTAAGTCAAAATTAATAACATTTAACAAGATTTTCATTTAGGCATGAAATGTCTTTTCCGGGGTATTGACTCCAGCGATTTATTCCCCAGAGATGCCTCCCAACGTAGAGGGCCTTGGGAACTAAGACTGATTTTTTTTTTTCCTAGAAAGATTTTTCTTTCACAAATTGTTTAAAAATCAGATTTAAAAAACAAATCCACCAGTTCTCTCTGAGCCCTCTGGGAGATGTAGGTACCTCCCTAGTTAAAACTGCCCAAAGACCTTGCTTTTTAAAAAGGCGATCCAAAGATTTAAAATGTCACCTTCTGCTAGCCCTCCCACCCATCAAGTGATACAAGTACTCGGCCTTATAACCCAATTTAATTTATGCTGTTGATATACAAATAAATAATTTTGACTTCCCAAAATGTATATGTTCTATGGCTTTTGCAGCCCATATAAACTTCATTGCCTACAACTAACATTAAGGAAATTTGTTTCCCACCACAAAAAAAAATTGATCCCACATTAAAGATTATTGAGGGGGAAACAGGATATTTTTTAAGGGGAAAAAGTGTTCAGAGTTCTTTAATAATACCAAAATGAAAATATGTCAAGGTTTTCTTCATACAGATAAACGCATTTAATTTCTTTAGATGACCTTAACTTACGTGTTCGAGTGAAATGGTAACTCAACATTTTAAATATCTTTTACATATATACTGACTTTCACAAAGTGCATCAGAAAATTAAAAAGAAACTCCCTGAATTTCAGGAATTCACAAAAAAAACTATTCGAATGAACATTTACAAGAAATTAAAAGAGAACACAATCCTTCGAACCCTATTTATACAGATGTTATGAAATACAGAGAAACTGTTGCTAGACTTCCCGTTGAATATCTCACCTTAAGCCTTTTTTGATGCTTCCTTTTTTTAGGAAAAAAAAAGTCTCATTGTAAGTAGACATCAAGCAGGACTTGGAGCATTTTATATATAATATAATCCACACAAAGGGTCTGTTTCTATAGGTTTCGTTTGTTCTCATTCGAAAGTTCTGACAGTCCTTTGCTGAGTGGTAGCTAGGTTTTTGTTTTTGAGAAAAGGACAGAGGATGGTGGAAGGAATGGGCAGTGGGGGAGGGGGCATTTCTGTGTATTGCTCTTCTCTGGAGAAGTTTGTGCGTGTGGTTGCGTGAGTGCGCGCGCGAGTGTGCGTTCTTGCAGTTGTGGGTCTCCGGGGTGTAAGCGTGTGTGTGCGTGTGTGTGTGTTTGTGATTTTGACCCTGTTTGTGTCGGAGGATGGTTCGCTTTTGTTCCTGGACCTCGCGTTCGATTCTCGTCTGGGCGCATTGGGTGGAGGGGAACTCCGGCCACCGCCTGGGGATCCGCGCGGCTCCACCTCTTGCCCAACCTGGGCTCGGGGGCGTCACTGGAGCCCCTGCCCTCCCGTGCGCCCACTCGCTCGCCTTCCGAACCTCTCGCTCGCTCTGGGTGTCTCTACTTGCTCGCTCGCGCCTCTCCGCCAACCTCTAGGAGTCGTTGGGACCGGTCGCAGCTTCTTTGCCTCCCGCCGAGGCCGCCGCAGCCGCCGCCGCTGCTGCCGCCGCCGCTGCAGCCGCTGCAGCCGCCCGGGCTGCACTGACGCCGGAGTCGTGCAGGATGAGGTCTGGGGACTCGGAGCGGGGCGTCTCCAGGTTGCTGGCGTCCGTGTCACTGTCGCTGCCCTTTTTGCCCCCGCCGCCCCCGTTGTGCGTCTTAATGTGTTTGCTCAGGTGGTCGCTGCGCATGAAGCGCTTGTTGCACACTGGGCAGGCGAAGCGCTTCTCGCCCGTGTGAGTCCGCAGGTGCCGCTGCAGCTCGTCCGAGCGCGTGAAGCGCTTGCCGCAGAAGAGCCAGTTGCACACGAAGGGCCGCTCGCCCGTGTGCCAGCGCAGGTGCGCCTTCAGGTGCGACGTCTTGCCGTACACCTTGCCGCAGCCCGGGATGTGGCAGCTGTGCAGCCCCTTGCGTCGCAGGCTCGCCCCGGCCGGACCCAGCCGCTCGGCCTCCTGGCAGTTGGGGCAGTCGCAGGTGGCGCGGCCCGAGTAGCGGCGCGCGGACGAGCGTGGGGATCCCCCCAGCGGCGCCGCAGGCCCGGCGCTCAGCATGGAGCTGCCCGCGCCGGCCAGCGGCGACGGGGCCGAATCAGGGTAGGAGCCTGGCAGCACCGGTTTGAAGCCGTCCATGAGGTGCTGGCCCGCCGGGCTGAGCAGGTGAGAGGAAGCGCCACTGCTGAAAGCAGAGTGGCTCAGGCCCGAGTATTCCGAGTTGTAGCCTCCGAGCGGCGAGTGCAGCGACGTCTGAAGACTCCCGGCGGCAGGGTGCAGCGAGCCAGGCAGCGCAGCCGCCCCATTGGGATTCTGCACGTCGATCCAACCAGCGCCCACGTCCCACCAGCTGGAGGCGCCCGCGGAGCCCACGTCGCTCGCGGCGCCCAGGCCCGGGTGCGAGGGCTTGAACCACGATTCGTACGGGTGCGCCATGCCCACGCGCGGATACAGGCCGTCGGCAGCCGTCGTGTGCACCTTGGAGATGAAGGCCGACTGGCCGCCCGCCTCCTGCGGGGACACGCCGGCCGCGGCGGCCGCCGCCGCCGCTGAGTTAGAGAAGAGGCCGCCGTAGTCGCTGCTGAAGGCGGACGACGTGGGGGACGTGGAGGCCAGGCAGAAGGCGCTGTTGGCGGCTCCCGAGCTACCCGCCAGGCCGCTCGAGCCGCGGCCGCCCGTGGCCACAGCGAAGCCGGAGAGGCTGGAGCCGAGGTTGCAGCTGGACGAAGAGCGCTTCCAGGGGTGGAAGCCGCCTTTGGCGAAGGCGCTGGACTCGGGCAGCGTCGTCAGCGGGCTGGTGTTGCCGATCTTGTTGCAGGTCGCTGCCAGCATGGCCAACGGGGTCGTTCCGAAGCGTGGCTCTTCCTGGAGTGGGTGGGGTGGGGGAGGGAGCAAGGAGGAGGAGGAGGAGGAAGTGGGGGGAAGACACAAAGTGCACCCGTGAGCAGCCTTGTGGCCCGGCGCGGGTCCCAGAGCGCCCTGACACCCCGGCTCGCGCTTCCTCCCCACGCGCTGGCCGAGGACGTGCCGCGCCCCGCGCAAGACAGAGGCGATCACAAGCGTGGAGGACCTGGCCCTGGAAAGTTGTTCTTCCGTGAGACTATAGATCGGAGATGCCTCGGTTTCCTTCACCTAGTTCGCTGCCACCCTTGTCTAGAATCAGATTGGATTGACGCCATAAACCCACTGTTCTCCCAGGAGCCCCCAAGTCGTCCTTCCGGGTGTAGCACGAAGGTAAACACAGACAGCAAACACGCGAGGGCAGGGGGATGGCCGAAATAGCGGCCCAGGGCTGGGAGAAACTTAGAACACTCCTCGCATGAGTGGCTACGACTTAGCTATTTTCTTTTATAGTTCAAAAACGTGGCTTTAATATTTACACACACATACACACGCACACACGCGCACGCACGCAGTTACAAAAATAATCCGAGTATAAACGGCCCGGTGACGGCTTTCAAAGTCAAGGGCAAACTGGGGAGCAACGCAAATGTAAATGTTTATTAATGTAACTGCATGGCCTGCAAAACAAGACTTTTCTGAAAGCACTGTTCTGTAATGCAACCCCAAAGCAAGGGGGTGGGGTAAAGTCAAAGGGAGGAAAAGAAACCTTCAGCTTTGCTTTAAAACCAATTAAAAGGGAATTTGCTTAAATTCTTTGCTTGCAAAGGCAGTGCCCCAGGTTCCAATAACTTGAAAAGATCAGTTCCGGAAATGTGGAAAATGCTCAAAAGGAACCTGAGGCTGCGGTCCAGCAACAGTTTCATAGGAGCCGAGGACCCAGAGAAGCCATAAAGAAAAACATAACTCCAGTCAAAAAACAAAAAAACGAGCAACTGCGTTGCAGGGCTTTTTTACTTACCCCGAGTATAGACGTGGCCATAGCAGGTCTCTTGGCTGCGCGACGAGGCCGGGAGCGGTGCTAAGCCTGGCGGCTGCTGGGAAACACAGCTCGGGTCCCGCGCGGCTCCCGCGTCCCGCGCTCGCGCCGAGCGGACTCTGGGCTCCCGCCGGCAAAACTCAGCCTAAGTGCGAGGAGCGCCCGCTTTGAAGTGCCGCTGACTGCGCCTCTCGCCCAATGAGGGCGCAGGCAGAGCAGACGGGAGCTGCCCCGCAGCCAATCAGACGCGCCGAGGGGCCCGAGCCCGGGCTCCTGGCGCGTGCCAGTCAAGTCTGCGGGCGTGGGTGGGAGGGGGGGCGGGCTGGGGACAGAAGAAATTACAGTGCAATTAAAAATTTACACACACTCACGTACCAAGCCAGGTTTAAGTACCGTTGAGACAGATCCGCAAGAACCCCCCCCCCCCCACCACACACACACACACACACACACACACACACACACACACACACGGGTCACCTCAAGATGTTGCTAGTTAGGACTGACAGTCTTCACTCCCTACTTAAGAGAAAGAAGCAGGAGAGGTGGGGACACCCGGGCCTAGGGCACGAGGGGAAATGATTTGCGTTCACTTTATGTGTACAGGTTCTTGCTGGGAAGAACTTCAACTTGTATCTCTCTCTCTCTCTCTCTCTCTCTCTCTCTCTCTCTCTCTCTCTCTCTCTCTCGATTTTATCACTGTCGTGGTGGTTTTATCAGTTTCTTATTCCCACTGTGTTCGGTTTTACATTCAGAGTCCTATTGAGCAAAGGGCGCAAAGAAGAGCTGGGCCTCTCCAGGAGGGTCTACACCCGCGGACTTATTGGGAGAGCCCAGAGCCTGCTGCATCCCGCCATTTCTCTCCAGCGGTCTAAGTGACTTCCTAATTGTTGCTCTGGCCTCTGACCCAGGGGGTAATACAAGTGCCACTCACGCCAGAAGCTTCTGGTGGTAATTGAGGGCACCCTTTGTATGGCTTCGCCAGCGCCTAGATACCAGGTTAACCCAGTTGTCAAATATGACTAAACAGTGGGACGTGCTGATTATCTGCCAGGTTTTGCTGGGGGCTGGCGTGGGGGTGGGAAGCATCAGCCCATACAACACGCTGCACGAAGCCGCTTATTTTCACATTGTAACAACTTTGGAAACGGAGACCAGCGCTCGAGGCGTCCTCCCCCACTGCCACCCCCGCTGAAGCTGCAGCTTGCCTGCACCGCTGTTTGTTTAACCCGGTGGAGATTTGCATGTCGTATTTCAGCCTGAAGTCGGAGTTTTAGGGGATGTTTATAAGAGTCGTTTTCCTTGCTTCGGCTCCAACCTATCACCAATGCAGACTGCCAGGGCCTAGAAACTCGGTCTGCAGGGGCGAGGGTGTCCAAGGTAGGCTCGTCCTCAGCCGGCACCCTGCTGTCACAGACCTGCTGAAGACCTCTCGGAACCCTCCGGGAAGAGTCTGCGAGAGCCAGGCCACACGTGGGCGCCTCCGCGTTCTGCAAGCTGGAAGCATCCTCAACTCCTCTCTGGACCGTGGTATAAAGACGTGCCCTCACACATCTTAGGGCACAGCCGCTGGACGGTTTCCCCGTCCTCCTGATCTCCACTGTCTCTTTTCCAGGATACCCCGAGGCTGCTATTGAACTAGAAATACCAGCGCCCTCGGGCAGGGCTGGGTACGGTAAAACAGTGGCATCCTCCCTCTCCAAATCCACATCCCGCTATCCAAAAATAATAATAACCAGCATCCTCAAATGCTCGAGTGCAAAAGACCAGAGAATGCTCGAGGAAGGACCAGAGAAGAGGTCGTGGAGGTGTTTTCTCTGCTCTTTCGCAAGATCCCTAGGCCCAAAAGTAAGTCGCCAGCAACACTTCTCTCCCACCTTAAGGTGGAAGACTAGGCCTGCGTGCGTGCACCCGCTCTCTTCGTCGATGGGGAGAGCTATATGAATCGCGTTCATTGCTTTTCACTAGAATATTTTTGCTCAGAATGCCTTAAAAAAAAACTTTAAGATGGCAAAAGGCACGGAGGAAGATGATTGCGGAAAAAGAGAAAGGAGAGACTGTCTGAGCAGCTATGAAGGGAACCCTGTGCCCTAGGAAACTGAGAGGGAAATCTGGGGGGGGGGGGGGGGAAAGGAAGGCCCTAGGACTACCTTGTGGAAGGTTGGGGTATGTGTGGGGGTACCCAGGCCGCAGAACCGAGCCAGAAAGCCCAGCAGGGGATCCAGGAACCGTTCCCAACAGGTGACTTCTGCCCTGGAAGGGGCGGCTGGCCTTCGACTTCCCGCGGCGTCCCTGCGTCGATTTACTAATAGAGGGGTTGTTAAGTGGCAGCGAGGCGTTTCCGATTCACTCTGGGCAGCCCGGGGAGGAGAAGTGCCGAGGGTTCCCCACAACTTCTCCTCCCCAATCCACCCTTTTCAGGAAACCTGACCAAGTAACACATAAGACAATCCGCAAAGCCACTTGGCTCTGGTGACATTTTCAAGCCAACCGTTTAAACAGTTCTCGAAGGCACCTCGCAGGCTAGCGGCTCCCGGCTCCTCTCCTCCTCCCCTTCCCCCTCCTAGCAATCCCCTCCCCCTCCGCTGTTTTCCACGCGGTTCCAGCTGTCAGACTCTGGACGTGGGCATATTCCTAGACACGCGCGTCCTCATCACAATAAAAGTTAGGGAAACCTTCCAAACAAGTCGGACAAGCCACCCGGGGCCAGCTCAACTCTAAGGTGGGATTCAAAGGAAATCTTTCGGGGAAAAGTCCAGTTTTTTTTTTCTCTCCTCCTCTCGTCTGACAGATTTTTTTTCATCTTCTAAAAAATTTAGTTTTTAAACAAAGATCAATGTGTTATGCTAAAGTGTTGAGCTGGCTGTTAAAACATTTGGGGAAATAATGACAATGTAACAAAGGCCTGGTTTGGAGTGAATCATCGCCCTTTTAAAAGTTAAAGCAATTTTCAGGAGAATGGCTTTCAGCAAACGCTTTACATTATTCAAAACGGCCAAATAATGCTCTATTATAGCGCCTGAATGGTGCCAGTCAGCCCCTAAGTGCAATTTGTGCAAAGGCCCCGATGCCTTATCTCCACTTCTTTATAAAGAGGTGAATATAAAACAATTTCTTCCAAACCCAGACAGAGAGCACGAAAATTGCTTCCCTTTCTGCAATCAGGGCAATTTAACTGGAGTGCAATTAGCACTATTAAATGTCGATTCTGCATAAACAAATCTGACTGAGCAGAGAAAGTGGGGTGAGAACCTCATATACACTGAAACTGATTTTTTAAAATTATGTATCCGGGTCCTTTACAATTGATCCGTGACGTTTTCATCTCGGCATATATTTACATGGTAAATACACTATGGTTAAATCAACATGGTTTTTTTCGCAAAAAAAGAAAAAAGAGAGATCCAATGCGAAACCCAATAAAGAATGGAACAATTAAAGGGAAGAGTTCACTTCCCTTGCACAAATGTTGTTTCTCCCATTTTGGCTCTCCGAAGGGCTTTGATCTGAGCAACTGCTCAAGTTTGTGGTGTTTTAGAGGCGAAGCTAGGGAAACAGTTTCATCTTGAGCTCCCACCCCGGATCCACGCGCCTGTGCCATAGATGCTCGATGCAGGCAGCGTGTGTGGCGATCCCGAAGACCAGATATTTTCTGAACTCCTCCATACCGTAGCTGAGTAAACATTAGGTAGCGGCCCGGTCTCCGCGCAGGTTAGAAGCTGGCGAGCAACACTGAGGTGGGGTAAGGTGTAGCTGGAGGCGCAGGACATGGGCAGGAAGGGAGGCGTTGGGAGGGGAGGAACCAAAGCCTTCTCAAATTGGAGGGGCTGGTTTCAGTGGAAGCCTGGGCCACTGGAACTAGGATGCAGGGCGGGGGCGGGGGTAAGAGGGAGAGCGCCCATAAAAGCATTTGTCTGACCTGTCCTCCCACCTGCCTTTATTTATTTATTTGCTAAGCCCCAGAGGCACCCGTTTTGAATCATTTGTGCAATTAATTATGCTTTTCATTTGCATGATCTACACCAGAGCAGTGATTATCAGGTCAGCACCGTGTGGGAGTTGGGAAGAAACATAATAACTTTAGTTTAAGAAAAAAAAAAAAGCTGCATTTGTATGGTTGCTGCCTGCTTTGAGCAAGAGTGGGGGGGGGGGGAGCCCAGGGCAGCCTTTAGCGCCTGTTGAGTCCTGTGCACCCTTCCCTCAGCTGGAGCGTGTCAGTGTGAGTGAAAATGAAATACAGCCTTTGATTAGACTGGGATCTTTTATAGTTAACATATATTTATGCCTTTAAAAGCACCCAGTCTTGAGTTCAAATGGATCAAGAAAATTAATTTAAAAGTGAAGGACTCTCCCACGATTTCATTTCTGTGAAGTTTTTATTTAATACTCATTAGAACGCCCTTCCTTATTGTAGCCCAACCCTTGCTAGGCCAATGAGACTTTCATATTTTTTTTTCTGTCTCTGCCTCAAAGGTGTCTGTCACTCCTATGTAGAAATGTCAGGTGGGGCAAAGCATTCTAGCCTCTGGAAGGTTTCCAGGAGAAACTGAAAGTCCCTGGTCTGTTGAGAACAGTCCATGCCTTTGCTGCTTTGCTGCACAACTGTCTGCTGTGTGTGACTGGACCTTCTATTCCAAGCTTGCCTTGATCTGTTTATCTGAGCCAAAAATGCACTGACAATTAAAGGAGAGACTGGTATGTCAGAGGAAGGAAGGTGACTGGAGACTGTGATGATTTTAATGACTGCAATTATTGGAAGATTATTCAACAAGCATCATGGATTTGTTTACTGCGTCACCAGGAAACTGTGGGGGGTCTGTTTGGCTTGAGGCTGTACTTCCCTCTCTCCCTCCCCAACCCCTAGGAAGGAGTCCCAGACCAAAGCAAAGTGAGAAGAGAGTCAGTTTTCTTTCTGAGAGAGATTCGACCCAAATGACGTTCATGTGTTGCCTCCAACAGCTTAAGAGAACCATCCTTGGAGTCGCTGTAAGAGCGCTTCGTTT